AACGTCGGACCATTTTCCAGAAAACGCTGGTAGGAAGTGTTAAAAATCCATATAGAATTTGAGAGAAGTGGGAATAATTCGCTTTGGGTGTATATTCAGTCCCCAGAAAGCCAATAAAATCAACTTTGAGAGAAAATTAGCTCTCACGAGTCCCTCCTTTTTTACATATTCTGCACAAACGATACTTTCCGCCCCGCCCCATTCATATAATTCGGAAGGAAATCCTGTGAGGGGTGAATTGAATGCACTTTAATACCAAAATGCACAAAACTTAAAAAATCATTAATAACAAAAAAAATCATAATACACCTTTTAAAGTCGGGTAGATGAATCGAAAATACTCAAGTTGACAGTCCCTTGGATTCTCTTCATCAACTTTCTCTTTGAAATAAATACTACAAATTTGATACGCTTACAAATTAAAACGGAAAGAGTTAAGATAATTGATGATTGATCAATTAAAAGAAATTAATGTTCACATTTGTTCTGTCCAGTAGCGGTCCTACGTCAAGCTTCCGTTCGTGCCCCTAGGCACAGGCCCTTCTACTTTTTCCTTTAAATATATGAATTGAACTGATTTTTTGTGTTATGAATTTTGACTGAAAGAAACGATTTTTTTGTCGACCAATTTTTGCGCATTCCAGTCTTTATTTGGTGATAATAAACCTTTGTTTTTTGATTTAGTAAAAATTAGATCGACCACCAGTAATCTGGTTCCTGAACATCCAGAAACACTCGCCTGGAGAATTCCAGAAGAGTGAAAGTGGTGAGTTAAACATTATGAGCCAGCACTGGTAAGAGCAGTAGGTACTTAATGTGATTGATGCTTTAACGAATGCCACTGCAAAACTGCAATTTTACAACAACTAAATGATAGAAGAGTAGACCAGCAGGCGAAGTGGGCCAAAATCTACAAAGGTGGTGATAACAATCCCCACCCCAACCTCACAGGCAGTAACAAATAAGTTAGGAGAAGTGCCATTGCTCATAAAGTTACAGGCGTTCTTGTGCACAAGAGCCAAATTATAAAGTGTCCTGCACATTTCTGAGTGAGTGGTATCCAGCTAAAAAGGGAAAGGACGATGTTTTCGTCAGGTACGCTAATGACCTATCCTACGCTTAAAATATAACTAAATCTAGCTCACTACTAATGACTAGATTAGTACGGCTTCTCTAATACCTCCTATTACCCTCACAGGACCTTTTGTATACTGTTAATTTGCCTGAAAGTCGCCATGTTGTCTGGTCAGAAGCTCAACTAGATGCACACGATCCGGCGTAATAGATCTCGGGTTGCTACATCTAACCGGAATGGACAATTTCCAGCTAGGCCAGCCGCTCGTTAAAGAGGTTTTCAAGCTCGGGGATGAAACCCCTAACCGTTTAGGAGCATTCCCCTCTTGACACGGTCACTCCGGTATTGTCTTGGGTCGTGCTAATCTCCGTCAACGAGGGAGGATGCCTGGAAGGCTAACACAGCCACACACGATCGATAAACCCCATCAAGCCATCGTGTGGTTAAATGACCCTCCGCCACCGTTTTGGGAACCATCAGCCACTATTCGTCAGCAGCAGCGAGCGCTCAGAGGGTGTCATCAGATCGTCGGCATAAACAGCAATCGTTCCCAAGTAACAATCTAAATGCTTGGAAGATTTATTCTTATTTTATCATTGTTTTATCATAGCATCCCTTCCAGCCTATGGTTGTATTACGGTTTTGTGTGCTTGTCATAAAATCAGGCCGTCAAGTCGTCTATAAAACTGTTTTATGACTACTAAATTAAAACTCAGACTTCATAGTTTTAACGGTAGCTGTAAGGTGGTTCTGCATCACTACTTATAACTGAAGAATAAAAACAAAACAAAACATACAATTATGTTTTATGGTACACTTTTTATGACCGATATAAAACTTGAAGCAGTCTTAGACCTTCATTAAAGCTTCATTACAACTATCATCTTTATCAGAGGCCTAAGATTCACAGATAAGAAATATACTGCTACAACAAAAAATACTCTGAATTTTTTTGTCATTATAAAAAACAATTCTATTCAGATATATGTAATGAAAACCCCTTCAGTGCTTCTGAACACGATGAAGATGAGACGATCGACAATATGAAACTCCTGGAGGAACTACAGTTATACGATCCCTACATAAGGCACAGTGCGGTGAAGGAGCTCTTAAAAATATTCAACAAGCGGCTTTCCGATACACTTCCGAAAGATCCATGAACCCTTCTTAAAGCAACGCCGACAGTTTCACTAAATCCGTTTGGAGATGGCCAGTATTGACATCACGGCTTTAAACCTTGTATTGAAAAAGCTTTTAGTGGATCCAATAACCATTTCTTACATCTTGATTACAAGCGAAAATAGGAGGATCGCTTGGAATGTTGACTTTTTGACAGGTGGTCATGGTTTTTGTTTTGTTTTGATTCGCTGTACCGAATAAAACCAGCAAGCTAGTTATATAGCTTAAATATAACTTAACGCTCTCAATTTGGACTACGAAATGCTAAGATACAACCATTAGGTTTATGTTATGCTATAGAATTCCAATCTAGGAGAATATGTTATATTGAGGTATTTTTAAGGAGTAGCAAGTTATAACGAAAAAAAATGTCGCCGTATGAACAAATTTCACACAGTATGAATAATTACGCTTTAATTGATAGGCAATAAAACACTTTCATACATCTATGTATAATTAAATAATATGTGACTGGTTATTGCTCAACAGTAGTAACAGTTTTGTACTAAATAGATAATCTTTGAATGACTCTTTAATGCATGGTGCTAATGCAGACAAATTAAAAATATCCCTATATTTTAGTATTCATATGGCGCACTAAATTTATGCTCCTATTTGGTATAATAATCACCATAAATATTGCACGGCATGCTGTGAAGCATATACAGATCGGTTTAAAATTATAATAAAGTCGTCTTATTTTCAATGTACAATAATATCAGCCATTATTACCAACTGACAAGGATCATGATTTCACATCAAACATCGAAAGAATAAAACCACAATAAAATATTCTCAATATTAACTATCATCCTAAAACCCCAACTTAAAACCTTCAAAGTTGTCAAAATGTTTTGCGTATCATGTTTTATCAACTTCTTCAGGAGCGATTTATGCGGTTGTAATATAGTTTTATGGTAGTCATTAGAAGGCTGTTAAAATTTTCTAACCTGGAGGAGGTTTTATGTTTTCATTTTTAACAATCACGTCTAGAGTGTGATAAAACTGACATAAATCCTATGCTCCTAAAGTAGTTCGCATATCAAGTTTTAATGACTGCATTAAAACTGGGCCAATTGGCCATGACATGGCTGTATTGCGGTTCTCAGGAGATTGTTAAAGCAATGTGGTCGTCAGTGAAGGTTTTATAATTTGGTTATATCAACTGCTATAAAACTTAAATAAAACAAAAATTGTTGCTTGGGTTGTTTATCGTCAAAGTAATTCTTTCAATTCACACTACACAATATCTCTAGTCAGGTGACCGTACGCTGCACATCTTGTCCGCGAAGTTCCTCGTGATTACCAAGTAGTGAGCTGACCCTGAGACCCAGCTCGAGGAGTCTCTTGCTATTGAACTTGCCGGGAAAAACGAACAGTTACAGATTTTTGAACATTCGCATGTGAGCTGGAGGAGTGTGAGGAATCATCGCACAGGGCATCTTCTTCTTTATCGCTTTTCAAGCTTATTGCTTATCTCATATTAGCTTATTGCGTGCTCTCAATTTAGTGTTCTAGATGCACTTCCACAGTTATTAATTGAAAGCTTTCGATGCCTGCTACGATTTTTGCATTAGTATAATTGTGTAGCAAGGATAATCATACTCTATGTCCAGGGAAGTCGAGAAATTTTCTAACCCTAAAAATTCCTAGACCGGACCGGGAATCAAACCCAGCCACCTCCAGTTTGGTCTTGCTTTGTGTAGCTGCGGCATTACCGACTGAGTTAAGGGAGGCCGCACAGAGCATAGTCAGAGCTAAAATTATACTTAACAACACTCGGGTGCACTTGTTCCGGTCATTTATGTATTCCTATTATTTTCACCATGGCATTTCTAGCTGCCTTTATTAAAACTATGTGAACTTTAATTGAATTCCGAGCATAAGGTGGGCAACGCAGAAGTTCCATTAATATTTGCTCCACTAATTCCTGGAGGACACTCATCCGCATTTTAAGAACATCCCTCAACATTTGCAGTAACATTGCGGCTTTCACCATATCCGTTGTTGCCCTGAAGTTACATAACACAGACATGAAAAAGTTATAATATGCCGACATCGAAATAAATCAAGCCGGTCCACGTAGCATCAAATTGAATACCAAAAATCGCTCGTCACGTGTTTTCCATATTTGAGATCATTCCAGAAAGATTGGGTTCGTCGCTTGAAATTCTCTGCACGAATTGAAGTCGTTTGTATTTCGGTGACACAAAATGAAAGGTAGTAGGCAAACGAAACAAAGCAAATAATAATAGCAAAGATCAGGTAGGTATCAGCCTCGTTTGGCGAAGAAATTATGATCATCCATTCGATTTAGGTACCCGCAATCATAAACAACTTTCCTCCTACTCACTACCATGTCAGGCTTGTGCATATGTGCCACACAATAGCATGCAATCTCCCAATCAAAATCAAAAGTAAACATAGACACCTTCTCCGAGAGCTGAGAGTGGATTCGCACCTTGCGGTCTGCTCCACCAGCCGCCAGCTGATATGCTCCGCTACGTTACCGACCGCTCTCGTTGTCGATCCCAGCCGAATGAAAGTTTACCAGCCGTTGGCCGATCACGCGATTTCAGTTTCTGCACAATTGTGCTTCGAAACGGACGTACCGCCATACTATCCAAACTTACCCCCGCGAGTGCAGTGTGCTCGGTTCGAATCGAAATTATCGTGCTCGTCGTTATCGCCGTCGTGCAGCGCAGTGAAACGTTGTGAATCTCGTGAATTATTTGCTGTCAGTGTCTCAGTGATTCCTCGGTGTGATGTTGTAAAGGCAAAAATGAGGCACCGTTGATCCATGAGTTCTAGCATTTTATGGTGATTATCTGGAAGGTTTTGAGCGCTACGAAAATTTTACGAGTATGGAAGTGGCAACCATTTCGATGCGGATCCAAATTTGGAGTGAAACAAATTTCTTATCAGGGCCTGTGCGCTGGGGGCGGTTCCGTTATGTGGTAGCCTTAGCTGGAATGTGAAGAGAAAAACAAAATCATGCCATGTCTTTGTAGGCGAATGCGAACGGCTTATGGTTGGACGAATTCGATTACGAGAAAGTGAAATTTTCTTTGCCTTTCGGGTGTGCGGGACCACGCGAAAGGAAGAAGTGCCGCCTTCGAGCGACGGTGGTGAACATGAGGTGCATGGAATGAAAATAATTGCTACGTGAGCGTTGGAAGTTTTTAAAAATCTGAAAAGAAGTTTTCTGATCAATCACTGTGATGCAAACATGCTGCGAAGAATGTTGGAAAGGAAAACGCCAAAACACATGACTCTCTGTGTTGTTGCGAATCCGGATGAAGAAGTAAATCGAGTGATAACAGACAATCAATGCCTTTTGATTGAAATTCATGATGCGATTGGATCCAACTAACTCATCGATTGATATCTGGGTGAAAAGTGTGGCCGAATGTGCATTCGAGTGTGTTGCAACTATTTATTTACGTATACCGTCTTATGTTTACACTATACCCAGCCATTGTTTTCGCTTTTATGCCTCGCTTTATGCCGGCCTTCGTCTGATGATCGCTGAGGATCAATCAGGCCACAGCGGAGGCCTACAGTACATCAATACACCACAGTATACTGTGTGAAAAACTTGCGTTAATTGTTTGCTGTCTGGGGAGTATCGATCGAATGAAATAGGGTACCGAAGTTATATACCAATTGTGAAGGTTGTGTTTCTAGAATGTGCTACAGAAAAACCGTCAAGTAAATTGATGGATGGGGTCAAGTGTGGCAAACAATACTTGAAACGATCGTAGCGGTTTTTACTTCAACCGATTACAATTGATATATAGGGGAAAAGGCTCTAATGTTGGCTTATGGATCTAAGATTGGGCCCATCGCTAAAAATTGTCTTTTTATCAATTTTATCTAGATGAACGCGTCATCAGGGTAAATTATATTTACACAAGTCTGTTTTAGATACTGACTTAGTAGAGGGCTGTTGATTTAATTATGTTGGAAATTGAATAGGTTGATAAGTTTATATTTCAATTATATTGGTAAGATCGGATGGTATTTTTTAATCCTTTTCTATCTTGATTGATGATTGTTCTAGTGGATTCAGCTAGCGGCTAGGGAAAATGGCTTGAAAAAGGTTTTTATTGTTGCCAAATAGCTTTTATTGTAGCTTAAATACGGGTTTCTAATGGTTCTCAATACGTTCGTCATACAACCTTTTTGCAGTAAATCAATCTTGAAGGGCTTCGAAAATATACCCTTCAGAATCTTCTCCAGGATGGGCAAACTAGACAGATTCTAGTCTTAATGAGGTTTGGGTGGATGCATCAATGGCAAAGTAGCCTTCACCAGGGTTTTATGAATGTTGTTTTATAGAAGCTTTGTATTACTTCATAAAACTTAAAATGTTACTTGGGACGTATACCGTCGTTAAGTTTTACCCTGATCAAATCCCGTATTCTTATTCCCAGATTATTTTAGAACTAATATGTTATTTTCATTTGCGTGAGCAGCTACACAAGTATGTAAATAAGGAGAGAAACCTGTTCAACTTTGTTGTTCCAATGAACATGTACACACCAAAAAATTATGAATTTTAATGGTGATGTAAATATTCATGCATGCTAAAATTGAACCATGTAAACTTCCTTTTCACGTAAACTAACAACTTGCAAGAAATATTGCTTGCAAAGATGGATGGTTGCATACAATATTTAGATTATTTCATTAAATGACTCATAAATTTACACAATCTGTAATGTGAATTTGTATGATATGTGACGCTCCATTTATGTGCATCATAGTGACAGAAATTTACACTACTTTTTCGAACTGTGTAGTTACGGCTCTGAAGCCGATTGAACCACCAGCACAAATTAAAGCGATACAAATTGACATATTGAAAACAAAATTAATTATTTAACAACGCGAGTAACTCTGAGTTACTCAAGATTTGCTCAAACATTACTCATGATTGAACGCTGCCTTGCCCCTAGACACTGCTTCTTGTGTGTGTGTGTGTATTCAATCTAACTCCCACTGGCCGGCAGTGGTATTATGGAAGAAATTTGCTTACAACAATCCTTGATGTTATAATTTGAAGCAAGTTTAATCCGGGAGTTAGAAAGCGATAGCTCTACTGCAGATTCAGCAATCCATTTCAGAATGCGTGGTAATTCACGTCCATTCCGAGGTAACTTTCACATACAATAAGCCCCACATGTAAACACTATCGTTATCATATGAATAATGGTACTGCAAACACACTTCCAGATATCGAAATGTGATGTTTCGAAATCTGGCGCGTATTTAGTAATATATGGAAATATGCATTTATGATTGATTATAAATCAGATGGATCTCACCAAATTCTGCCTCCAAAAAAGGACCGATTTGTTCACTCGCGGTAATCGAAAAAAATCTTCCGCGTTGTTTTTACAACCCAACACAACATTTTGAATCACATTCGAAGTTTTTCATTTGCACCGAATTTTTGCTTGACACCTCATTCGCGTGCAACCTCCGGAAGGCAGAACGCCAACACCAACAAAGAAAAAAATACCCGGTAAAACTCTTCTTGGGAGGGAGGCAAAGCACCAAAAACAAACCAGGGTTACTTCCACTCACTAGCTATAAAAAATATGTTTGTCGGAATTATGACATCTTGAGATGGTATAGTGATAATTAGTACTTGTAAGTTACAAGATGAAGACGTGAAGTATGTGCTTGACACAAAAAACCTATCAATTTTGCTTACAGTGCGTCACAATCAGCGATTTTACGACTCGTGAGTGCTCACTCTGAGTGGCTCTCACGAATCATAAGATCGCTTATTGTGACGCTCTGAAAGTAAAATTGATAGGTTTTCTGAGTCAAACACATACTTTAAACTCTCTTCTCGTTACTTACATGTACAACATATCATTATATCATCTAACGATTGCATAATTCCGAAAAATAGGTTTTTATAGCAAGTGAGTGGACGCAACCCTGAAACAAACGAAATGAAAAACCAACCGACGCGACACCACAGCAACACAGCTTCTTGAAACAAATTCTTGTCCCTGATTTTTCACGTTAATTACAATATCACTAAAAAAAACTTCTTAAGACGTGATAGATCTTAATTTACCCTTATCCACACGCGAAAACTAATATTTGTTTGATTTGATACAATTAAACAAATATGCGAAAAACAGATGAAATCAGCGCCAGCGAAAACAAAACCAACCGTTCGCGGGCAGAGCCTACTGCGTTTCAAGTTGCCCCTAGACACTGCTTCTTGACCCCAAACTCGGCCTACGGATTCTAAATTCGCTTAACGCATTAAAACGCCATTGAATCGCCATTGAATTCACTTTGGCCTATCGGAAGAAGATAAAAAATGATTCGTTCGGAGCAGGGTTACTTCCACTCACTTGCTATTAAAAAATGTTTTTCAGAATTATGAAATCATGAGATGGTATAGTGATAATTAGTACTTGTAAGTTACAAGATGAGCATGTGAAGTATGTGTTTGACACATAAAATATGTCAATATTGCTTTCAGTGCGTCACAATCAGCAATTCTACGACTCGTGAGCGTTCACTCAGAGTGAGCACTCACGAGTCGTAAAATTGCTGATTGTGACGCTCTGAAAGCAAAATTGGCATGTTTTATGAGTCAAACACATACTTTAAACCCTCGTCTCATTACTTACGAGTACAGCATATCATTATATCATCTAATGATTGCATAATTCCGAAAAATATGTTTTTATAGCAAGTGAGTGGAAGCAACCCTGGTTCGGAGTGCTTCTTTTGTTTTTGAGAATAATGAGTGCAATGTAATGTCTACTCGATAGGCCCAAAATAGGCGATTAGGCCGAAGTAGTTCTCTACCCTACTTACTTTTTTTTAAACAAAAGCTATTTTGAAAAGGCACAACATTAGAACTAACAATTGATAAAAGCGAGCAAAAAGCGAAATCCGCGAGCAAAGCATTTCGGACGGCGCGGAAGCATCGTAGTCTAACCTGCATAACCTGTCATCTTTCCCAGTTATTGTCCAGGGGGCAGAACGTCAAAACCAAATTCGTAAAAAGACACGGCAAACGTTGCTTCCGGGAGTCTTGAGAATTGCATTGGAATTTGGTTCAGCACTAGGTTCATCATAATCTTAGATGTATTCTGAAAATTTCCTTAGAATTCCATTTCCAGGGAGTTCCTTCATAGCTGTACGCAGATTTTGATAGAAAATTTGATAGAGGCTCGAAAAAATAGGGTCTTATTTATGCTAAGCATGAAAATTCTGGAATTTTATATTGGATATCGAAACGTTTTTTTTTTTGCGTGTACGCTTTTTATGAAATTTCTGCACGGGAAACAATATTTGAAACATTTTAAATCGTTTTCTGTGCAAAGATTACATAAAAAGGCCGAATCAATTTTATTTATTTATTTTATGCTATTTGGCGTGGAACTGGTCAGACGTCAGTTCGATCAGAAGTGATGTTTTCGTGCTACAATTAATTGAAAAATGTCAAAGACGCCATTTTGACAAAAACAAAATACAAGATCCAAAATGCCTACATTTCAAGCTGAACATTGCATTAGGTCCTAAGTAACATTGATCGATTCTCTTCGTCGACTCTTTTCTCTTTCGTTAATAACTTGAGCACATAACCGTTTCTTATTGTGTGTGTGATATTAGTTGCTAGATGAAAGTTTGTTTTATCGATCTATGCGCTGAAAATAACCGAGAATGTCTTTACATGGCCGTGGGGATACAAAGAGAAAGTCGACGAAGAGAATCTGTCAATGTTACTTAGGACCTAATGCAATGTTCAGCTTGATTTTAGCAAAAATATGGTAAAT